ATCAATGACTTAAGTACACACAATCGACATGTTGATCAAATACAATTCAAAGAGCCAGGTGAGTCTGTTCCGATTTCGGTTGTTAATTCTAATACTAATGAGAGCATTCTAGATAATACAGAGCCTTTATCCAATACACTGTCGGACAGACACAGGATGAATTTGAGAAGAAGACGTACAACTGATTACAGACATATACATTCCAATTTAAGCGGTGGCGGATGTGGTGTTTGAATGAACTAGTAACTTCTTGTTGTTGTGAAATGCTTGATTTCGAATTCTAAATACAATACATTCGTTTGTGCAGATCTTTAATTCTTGATACATATACTTCTAAGTATCACAGAAATCCCAAGCTTTATCAAAATACTTAGTAAAGTGTTTTCTACCATCGATGGTGAGAGACAAATTACTGATTAAGTTAACAATGATTTTGGTAATAATATATCTTTCCCGCATCGACTAGTGAATCACCGGAATCCTACATCATAACGTGTGACATAGCCATCTTCTGTAAAAACACTCAAAGCGAGTTTCTATCTTCACAATATTACAAACTACAAGGATTAATATAGGTCGGTTGACCTCGCATTCTCACTTCTCAAAACTGAAGACGTAGAGGCTGAGATTAAACCCCATAATAAAATGTGAAAGATATATGACAAATAATTCTGAACGATTTGGTTCTATCTACCACGTGAATCTCATCAAGCAAGTGTTGAAGAATTGAGCTGCGTAATGTACTTATCATCGTTATTATTTTTCACTTCCTTTGTTCGTTTATCTTTACTTACTTATTTTTGTATAGTGTCATATGAGCATACCTTCCCAGCTCTACTTCAAAGGTATATAACGTTTCCATCACAACCATTGGAAACGCTGCCGAAAAATGCATAATGGTGTACCGACAAGCTCTTTCTGTATGCACTACTGATAAAATCATCCTATTTTCTAATGAAATGTAATTATATTTTAATGCTGTCTCATTGAGCAGGAATCTGTATTTCTGACGTTTCGTGAGTTAATGTAAGTTACTTCTTCAGAGTTTATAAATCACTTAAGGATTTATGACTTTACGCTTTGAGCTACGTCATAAACTACACATGATATACCTGTATATAGTGATTAGTAATGTTAGTTGCAGTAAATAGTGAAGGTATATCAAAATATATTGAAATTTATCACCTTTTTAAATTATCCAAACGATTCAGAGTTTAGCTTTTCATGCATTTGATTAACCTAATGCCTCATGTTTACACATTTGACTATAAGCTTTATCTAAAATTTGGTTAGGAGTAGTTAACTTTAGGCTTATAAGATTAATTATAAAACATGTAGTGTGTACCATTTTGTCAAGCATACTAGACCTGTTCTATCTCTCGGACAAATCAATTTCTCCATCCTTGACAAATATTCATGCGTCTTTTGACCTTGTTATTTATTCGCTTATAACCTTGACTGTTTCAACTTCGGTGAGTTTATTTCATACACTCGCGTATGAAAACAGACAAAAACGGAAAGCATAAGAGCGAAGCTAGGCAAGGCAGAGATGGAGAGTAGAGCCGATTCCACTTGATGAAACATGACTACCGATTTATCGTGGGACGAAAACAGACTAAACAAGTAAAAGCAAAGTAGTCAGTTTACACTCGCTCAACAGAGAACAACCAAGATCATAAGTGAGTAATTTACAAGGTCAAAAAAGCATGAATATTGAATAAGATTGGACTAATTAGTTTTTTTCGGCAGGATAGAACAGGCCCTTTAGGCTTGACATAACAAATATTGCAAATATGTGTAATTTTAAATAACTGCGTCTACAGCTATTCCGTCTTCTGATTCAGACAAACTAAAATTTTTTATATCATCTCATCACTTCTAAACATGAGCGTTGATAAGACTATGGGATGGCGACCTTAAAACTGAGGCAATACATTTACAACGTATGCCAAAATAGTTCAGAAAGCACAAAATAGCCAACATATCTAGTAAATATTCATTTCGAAAAAAATGTCATTACAGAAGAAACCTAGTCCATGTGATCTACTTTCATAATTCCATCGTTGAATTTAACCTTTGAGGGATTTTTGGTGATTAAGTTTAGCTTACAATATTGAAAAAGCCTTTCTACATCAATGAGACATATGTAAGAAATATTGAACATAGTTAAATTTAGAACCGCCACGTACATTGTCAGCTACGATTTACGCAGAGCAGTGCGATGGAATAAATCTATTCTTTGTGTAAAGGCAATCTAATCATATAACTTCTTCAACGATGCAACTTCCAGTCACTTAAAAAAGTGTCCAAATTAATTTCTCCTCAATAGGATTCGATCAGCAACTAGATATACATGACATTACTGGCTGCTCAATGATTAAGAAGTTGTAAATATTTGTCCTACAGACGGTCAGTCTTAGGTGGAATCGCTTAGTGATAATATCCCAGAATGCGAAGTTGATTGACATGGCTTAAAATCTTACAAAACTGCTTTTTTCCTTTCAGCTTACATCTTGTTGACAAGGGCCAACTAACAAGTTTTCCTGTTGATCATTTCCAGCCACATAACATCTTTATTATCTACAAGTTACATAACATGTTAACCTTAATTCATTATGTCCTAACAATTTGGGAAATCTATTCACCACGTTAATAATAAAATCTAATCACATCTAGTTGAATTCTACTTGTATTTACAATGTGTTTCACTGATTTAGAAAGGGCATTATGCTTTCTCACAATGTAACTATAGCTTCTACACCTATTCTATCAGTTTGATCACACTTGAATAAATATGATGACTGGAATCTACTAAGAACTAGTAAAAAAAAATACACGATAAATGCAACTTGAGCATTAATCACCTTTCCGGGATGAAGTTTAAACATAATTATATCTAATGTCTATATACTTCATTTATCAACCTCACAGCTGAGTAAGTAATGTGTTTACTTTTAGCACATTTAATTTGGGAAAATCTAGACCAAAAGAATAAACTCCAACTTCGGGATAAAACTGCAGATTTATAAAAACATATTTCGTGTGATGAGCATGCATCAGATTAAGATCTAATGAAAACAAGTCGTATATCATACCATTTCCTTCTTGGCATACGACTGTTCTGTAACGTCTAACTTAGATTTCATGCAACGTTGAACACATAGCCTTCAGTTTCGCTATATATTCTACAAGACTAAATTGTTTACATTCATACAGTAGAACGACGATTAGTGAGTTAGTGATTGGTATATTTTCAATACTTCAGTTGTTGGTTTTGATAAGAAATCATATTTTTATTTCTTTCTTCGGCTGATTTTAATCTTCAACTGATTAGGGATCTTGATAACCACCCTAATAGAACCATACATGTTTATACGTGAAAAGTATATCAATCCATCATGTTAGAAAAAGCGAAAATTCTTAGAGCTAACAAAACAGACTTTTGAACTTCCATTACTTTGTGAAGGTGATGAAAAAAAGATAATGAAACAGTTTATATCCACACTGATCAATACTAAAAGAATAATGATGACCTAATTTACGATACCTGATTAGAAATTTGAATAAGATTATTGCCATTACTTGTTCATCTCATTGCAATCAAAAACACTGACATAACATGATTCTATTCTACTCCAATCACTGATGTTTTGCCTTTGAAAAAATACATAATGTTTTCTTTAGTTGTTAATATAAATGTAAATAGTTACAGAGGTATCTATATTCTATTTTTGATTTCTGTAAAAATGTCATTTGATGTAAGCTAAGTAAAAAAACCTACCTACTGCTTGTTGTGTATTTAATCTCTTCAGCATACAATGCCGCTTCATTTGTTTAAAACTACCTTGTCAATAAGGTGTACACAATGTTAGTTATACTTTGCCAAAAAGAAAAACAATGCACAATAAATAGAAGAGCAGAAAAAAGATCAAATAAGGAAATAGTTTGTTTTGTACATTTCCCTATGTGTAAATGCATCAATTACTTTTTGTTCAGTCTACTAAACAAAACAAATGATCCTGCAAAGATGAACTACTACAAGAAGATTGTACTTGTTATTTTACAGGCAATCTAAGCATCTATACAAAGTGATTTCAGTTTAAATACGTAACTTAACGTAAAGAAATATCGTAATGTGTAATACTATAACAAGAAAGCAAACGATGAGTGATTACATAGTTTATATTTGTTAAGCAACAGAAAATCTGTTAGGCACGTTAGATCCCCGGAAATCACCTGGAAAGTTCATACTTTCTTAATTTTCCTCTGAAATTTTGAAGTTCCATGTTTTCACGCCAGTGGAGCTTAGTTGACCTCCAGCTTAGACTTCCCCCTCTGAAAGTCCTTAACTGGAACACATTGCACTTGGCTTTTGATCCATGCACTGCATACGAATCAATAGGTGTACTAAGTGCTAACATCCAAAATTATCAATAGGTAATCTAGTTCTACTCTAATGAACTTTACAGAATCAGCAACAAAAAAGATACAGATTATATTATGTTGCATTGAAAGCGAGGAAGTTGTTAATTTTCGAATGTTAGTTACTAACCACTTTCGAACATTGCAGGATATCTCATACTTCACAAGTCTTAGCCTAAATTGGCTATGACAACTTTACAAGCTGTTATCTGATAATACTATGTTCGATAAATAAATTGCCTTGAAATCTTAATTCATCTTTTACATAGCATAATGTTTATCTGACACAACATTGAAACAAAGATCTCCAACCATTGAAGCAGACAATTTCCTACTCAGCTGTGAACAACAATGCGCAGAAATCAGAACAAACCTCCAATTTGAACAAGCAAACAATTTTCAAGCTTCTATTCCTCAGTAGCATCTATAAACTAAAAAAACCACTTACAACCATTGTAAAATGAACAATCAATGTTATCAATAATTAATTTACTATACATTTTTTTCAATGTCAGCTAGTTTAATAGTATATATATATATAAATATATATATATATATATATATATATATATATATATATATATATATACATATACATATAATAGTATACACATGAATGATCACGTACAAATTGAAAACATCAAGTCATACAACATTTAACTCTGTTCGTAAGCAAACTAATAATAAACCGACAATGCATTATTGACAATCACATGTTTTAAAATACTCGAAAATATCATAAATTTCAAATAGCTTTTCATCAAATCTTTCGTAAGAAATAAAACTCAGTAGAAAATTATCTATTTTCATTTTTTAAATATCAGCATGAAAACTGAATATACATGCATATATATAAATATAAACCAACATTATTTGAGAAAAATAGCCAACTGAAATCAATGAACAATAAAAGGAAGTCATTATCTGTGTTTCATTTTTTAACAAAAAATCTTAATGATAACCTCAAATTAAGTTATCTTGCACAATAAAAAATTATTCTCAATTAGATTCTTTTTTTTTCATACATTTGTTATAATAAGTAAAACTTGACGAAGAAAATGCAACAGTGGTTAAACTTTGTCAATAATGTAATTTAACAGAGAGAAAAATAATAAGACGTAAACATCTTTAGACTTCAGTCATGAAAATAATAATAATAATAATAATAATGAAAGAAACAACAAACAGTATCACTATTGAACAATGAAAAAGAAAACCATGGTTTTTATTTTAAAAAATAAAATAACATTTATCTGATAATTTTGAAATATATATTTCACTGTATTTTCTGAATTTTATTGTTTGTTCTTTTTTCTCTTTTCAATTTTTCGCCTCGTTTTTTTTTTGGTTTTCATTCATCCGTATAAAATGGTTCATCATTTTTATAACTTAATCTAGATGGACGTTGACAGGCGATAATTTTTGGTGTAGCTAAATCTCTTGCATTACTATCACATGTACGATTTTTTGTCTCGATCATGTATAAATAGAAAAATATCCAACAAATAACAACAATCACTAAAAATGGTAGAAATGAATAACCGCCAATTGCATCCTTTAAAAAATAAGAAAGCAAAACAAAATCAAGTAAGATTAATTAGAAATTAAGTGTTTTAATGGAATGAATATAGTGTAAATTATTTTAAAAAAATTGAATGATTCAATGTATAATTAAACAAGTGTGCCCAATCCAGGAGTGAAGTAGAGTTGTTCATGAATGATTATTTGATGAGTGCCACGTTATTATCGATAATATAAAATATAGACTACTGAATTTCAATTCAGTAGTTTAAATGTAACAAACTAACTAGGTTTCACGTTAAAGCAAATCAGGAGTCTCATGTTTCTTAGTTTTTAATGGTCCTCTAACCATGACCAGTATATAGTTTAAATTATGAAATTCAACAATCAATATGCTATGAGTTTTAAAAAGGAAAAAAATTTAATGGAATCTACAATCCTGCAGAGCAGACATGACGTCATTTAACGACTAAAATAGTCTCTTTCAAACGTAGATTATTCCATAAAATTGTGTACTCAGTATGTGTTAGTTATTAATGAACTTACTGACTAATAGTTCCAGTAATCTTGGCGAAATTCCGTGATCTGTGGTGTATATATTGATTTTTTTTCTAATAGACTTAACGGAAATAATCTGCTTTTTATTTGTACCATATATTGAGTGACATGTTTTAGATGGAAAGTAATCTTTAATGACGTCTTTCAGTATTTAAAAATAAACATTTACCATAAAAAGAAATGTGAATAATCTACTAACTACAACATCATATGATATTATGTTTTCTTTTTTAGTTGTTTGCTATTTGCACTGATGTACTTCGCAATTTTATGTGCTTCTAATTTTGTCTGTGTTTGTGATTAACACACTGAAGATTAAATTACTTGAGGTAAAAATGTATCATATAAAAATAAATTCGTAGTTGGATGAAATTTGAAAAAAAAATTTATTGTTCTATAAAAGTTATAAAAGAAATAATTAATTTTCAATGGATTCTCACCATGAACTTAATTGTTGGAGTCAACACTGTTTTATTGATTTTTTGACAAACTGGTAATTATGTGAAAATTAAGTGTTTGCACAGTTGATGTGACTTTTGCAATAACCATAGTAAGTAAAATTGTTTTAAAGCTTTTTTTCCTTTTTTTCATAAAATTAACTGAAATACACTTGATCACAAACGAATCTAATTAGTGCTTATTTTTCGGTTTTGTATTCAGTTTACGTATAACCATTACCTAGCATCTTATATTCTGGAGTTTACTTGAATTTTCTGCCATGATGAGATACAACAAACTCATAATTCTCTTAATGATTTCACTGAGAAAATAGTGTCACGATTATCAAATTGATCTGTTTTATGTTTCATTTGTTTGATAGAAACACCTAAAATCATTAGAGTATGATGATCTCAATCAATCACATTCAATAATCGAATGTTTAACTAGCAGCAGTTAATTTGTGTTGGTAGCCTGATCCACAAACTATGAGTATTTCGTGTATTTCGTGACTTTTTTTAACACTGGCCTAAAATGAATTTTGAATTGAATAAACATTGACTGGTTAAATTGAAGTTATGAGGAAACGATGATTAACTTATCTTGTTCTATCTACCTTCGGATAATTATAGACATGTTATCCTACTAGCTGATTTGTTCAGAATAAACACCTTCGAAGTTGTTCAAATCGATTAAACTTAGAAAGAATTTTCAAACTAACCTCAGTTTTTAAGTACAAGTTATAGTATTGTGATCATTCAATAACTAATTGAATGGCATAAGTAACACCTTTTTTTCCATTTGTAATGTGTGTAAAATGTGTATATCAGCAGTCTTATTCAACACATTATGGTATGAATGTTGAAATATTGATCCTAGTGAACTTAGGATATTATTGATGAATGAATGGTAACATCTTATCGCATAATTGATTTTCTAGTTGCTTAAAACCTGCGAATAAGAATCCTGTTCAAATTCACCTTTGTTTCTAGATTCAGTCGTCATTATCAGAAATATAGTTAAGGATATAAAAAGAAATGCCAAAAACCATATTTGGATATTGTAAAAATACTTTTTCATGTAACATTATACTCACATTAATGCTTGGATAGCTGAATAAGACCAGCAAATTGCACAATAAGTTAACTCCTTGACTTAACGAATAGGCTGCAGCTCGTGGTTCTTGTCTAAATATTTCAGCTACAATTATACCAGGGATTGGACCTAAGCCTAAAGCAAAACCACAAATATATAATATGATAAGAACAGCTGAAATAATTCCTGCTGTTCTAGCTGTTGTCTCATCTGCTGTTTTACTTGCTACATTCACTGAAATTGTTAGAAATAATAATGAAAAAGCAAGAAGTACAGTTGGCCATAAAATAAGAGTTCTGCGTCCAGCACGTTCAATTAGAGATACTGAGAGCACAGTCAATAACACATTAATTGCTCCGACAGCAACTACACAGAACTGGATATACATTAATGGAATCCCAGCAGTTTTAAGCATTGTCGATGAGTAAGTAATTACCTGAATGAGGAAACCAAAATTGAAAAAAAAAATCAAAGTATAAAAACTAATATACCCAATAATTTTGTTAGACTTCTGAAAACTATGCCTTGTGTAAAGATACTTGACATAACGATGTTATAGTCGCGATTCAGATTATTCCGTCCAAAAATGGACCAAACTCCAACAATCTACCAGAAAAACCTTTGTCTAAAACTCGATTTTAAAAGAACATGGAGCGTAATATTTTGAAACACGAACTAACTCCATCAAGTTACATGTGATCTTATCAACAACAATGGATCAATGAAGGGTTACTGTTCACGAGCTTCTTGTTTTGTGTGCGCCAATTCATTTACTTCTTTGGAGTTATTTACATAGGCTGTACTCATAAGGCTTGATCCTTGAATGACCGTTATCACGTACCGATATGGTCGGGATAAAAAGTCAAGAAACACACTAACAGCGCCACTCTTTCTCACCTGGATTATATTGAATATCACATTAAAATAGATGGACCTTTCTTAGTTTTGTACCTGATTCCAAATAATCGATCTAAAAGAACGAAAATACGACTCCTTAAAATAAAGGGAGTCATCGATTTCAATCACAGCAGACCTTCCTTATGGCATCCAAAGAAGACACATTCAACATTTGTTTCTTTGTGATCCACAAATGGATTACCATATATTTAAACTGACCGGCTCAAACCGATTACTCTCACTCGACTCCTCTCATCTACCACGCCAGTGACAATATGTCTTCTGTTACATATGATATTCACAAATTGTTATTATTATTACGGTTAATATTATCTTTCGTAATCTCTACTGTGCAGCAAAAATTCACCAACTAAAATTTTTATTGACATGATTTATTTCAAGATTCATTTGTTGACTATAACTTGACACCTTACAACGTAATATTCTCACCTTTTGTAGATGTCTTTTCAGATTTAACATGTGCAAAAATTCACCATTTTTCAAACATATAGTAGTATTCGGTTTACTAGCATGCCTTGTATGACCTTAGCAATAAGTATCGACTTAAAACTGTAGAGCTTGATGATGAAGTGGATCAAAACACTTGTTGTTTGACCCAATCTTCTCTGTTTTGTAATATATATATGTATACGTCTAAATTCCCCATTAAATGTGCTTTACAGATCATGCTATTGACTTGACAATATTTTTATGGTATACTTTCTTTTCATCATGGCTAGTTGATATTATTCTCTGATCAAGGTTGTGTACATGCATGTACATGCATCAAGAACTTTTGCAGTAACATCGAATGAAAATAAATCTTGATAGAACAGTGAAAAAAAGAATTTCTTAAAAAATATTAACCAAATATATGATTTTTAGAAATCTACAGCGTTTTTATCAGTTATTTTAATGATGATGATCAGTTATATATTTGGTTAAAACTATTGACAGTTAATTAGCTAGCAGTGGAAGATATTGGCCAACAATGAAATCCAGGACGTGCGTTTCATTCTATTTGGGACCAATCCACTGAACGTGTACCTACATCCCAGAGTTGATGTTCACACCAAGACTTTACACTTCAAATGCCATAGCAATGACCATTTGCTACTGAGTCTAGATCGCGACTCGGTAGTTCAATGGTGCAAAGATCAATTCATTTGTCTTGACTAATAATGCTTGTAACCTGAAGGCAATATCGAGACAATCGTCATAGGATGCACATATACAAATAGTACTGATCCTTAACAGTCCTAAACATCAATCGAAAGAAGATTCGAACAAACAATATGAATAAACTGTTTACATTTCAATTTAATAATTATATAATTTCTTATATATAATTAATAATAAGCGAACTTCAAAACTAACCGCATTAATTCCAGAAAGCTGTTGAAATACTTGTATGATACAAGCAATTAAAACTGGCATACGTAAATCTTTCTGAGTGAAAAGTTTAGAAAACTTGAATTTCGGTTGTTTTTCAGTTTCATTCACTTCTCTTTTCATTTCTTCAAATATTTCATTAATGTTATCTTTACAGTTAAGCCGTTTGAAAGCTTTACGTGCTTGTGGTTCCTTCTTCTTTTTTATAAATAAAAAACGTGGACTCTCAGGACAATATGGTAGAAGAATCAATGCAATCAATGCAGGAACTGATCCAGCCGCTACAGAAATTGGCCATAAACTTGGTGTATTTAATGTATATGTTAATGTCATTAAATAGGATACGCATATGCCGATAGTTAGAGCAAGCTGATGCAATGAACCAATTCCACCACGAAGAGATATAGGAGCGATTTCTGTCAAGTACATTGGTGCTACTCCCATTGATACTCCAAAATTGAATCCATTTAGAACACGCCCAACAAACAGTAATGCAGGTTGACTGTATGCTACACATGGACCAACTATTACTCCTCCAGCAATTGCGAATAGACTGTTTACTATTAGACCATTTCGTCTTTAAAATTAAATGAGAGAATATTATTTGAGTAATTTACAAGTGTAGGCGTTTTATATAAATATTCTGCTTAAAATAAAAGCAACAAGAAATAGTAAACACTACTAACATAGCTTTGGACTAATGCGAAAAATGTGTAAGTTTTAACTACTAAAAACATTTATAGATATATTTGTTGGGGACATTAGATCTTCAGAAAATACTTGATAAAGGTCCTAGTTTTGGATTTTGTGTTTTTGCGCATAGGTTAATCAGTTGACCTTTGCCATTATATTTCCCACCCGGAAAAACCTTGACTGTTATTGGTTGATGTGTTATTTTAGTACGCTATTTTTGTGGCTCTCCCAAGGACGTTTCTATGATGTATACTTACACACTTACGCCTGTTACACCCAATGGAGCATAGGCTGCCAACCCGTTTTCTCCAACCAACTCTGTCCTGGGCTTCCCTTTCCAGTTCTGTCCAATGTTTGTTCATTCCTCTCATATCTTTCTCTATTTCACGGCGTAGTGTGTTGGCCTTCCTCTTTTCCTTTTGCCTTGAGGGTTCCATGTCAGGGCTTGTCTCGTGACGCAGTTAAGTGCTTTTCTTAGTGTGTGTCCAATCCACTTCCACCGCTTCTTCCTGATTCCCTCCTCCACTGGAATCTGGTTTGTTCTCTCCCACAGTTCGTTGTTGCTGATCGTGTCTGGCCAACGAATACGAAGTATTTTGCGTAGACAACTGTTAATAAACACTTGTATCCTCTGGATGATGGCTTTGGTAGTTCTCCAAGTTTCCGCTCCATACAGTAGAACTGTCTTCACATTTGTATTGAAAATCCTGATTTTGGTTTTGGTTGAAAGTTATTTGGAGTTCCAGAAAATTTTCAACTGTGGAAATGCAGCCCTTGCTTTGCCAATCCGCGCCCCCACATCTGCATCGGATCCACCATTCTCTTCGACGATGCTGCCAAAATATGTAAAGGTGTTAACGTCCTCCAAGGCATCTCCATCAAGAGTGATTTGGTTGGCGCATGTCGTATTGCATCGAAAAATCTCGCTTCTCGCTTTGCGTATGTTGAGACCTGCTGCTACACTGATTGTCTTCTCTTACATTTGATGTTGCGTGTGAGATAGAAGAGCCAGATCATCTGCGAAGTCTTAATCGTCCACCTGTATCCTGGATGTCCACTGTGATCCGTGTTTAAGAGACAAGCCTCGAATAGAACGAAACGAAAGTGCTGGAGGTTACAGTCTACATATAACTAAATTTGTCACTACAAGAGTAGACTGAGGTGATTCACTTACGATGCACATACGACAATAAAGGCTGATTAGTTACCATTAAAAATTGAATGTCAGCTGCTGCTGCTGAGGCTGCTGTCACACCGGTCGTCTTCTCTTTCTCTTGTTATTGCGTGTGCGATAGAAGATCGTCAAGATGCGTCCTAGCTGCCCAATGAATACCGTTCTTCCCTCCAGATGCTGACGTTTTCATAATCCAGTCGATCACTAGGAGAAAGAGAAAGAGTGAGAGTAAGCAACCTTACCTGACACCGATCTTCACCTCGAAAGAGTCTGTCAGCCGACCTCCGTGCACGGTTTTGCAGTTGAACCCATCATAAGAATTCCGTATGATGTTGACTATTTTCTCAGGCACACCGTAGTGTCGAAGAAGCTTCCACAGTGTTTTCCTATCCACGCTATCAAATGCTTTCTCGTAGTCGATGAAGTTGATGTAGAGTGGTGAGTTCCATTCAATTGATTGTTCCACAATGATCCGTAATGTAGCAATTTGGTCAGTACACAATCGATTCTTACGAAATCCGGCCTGTTGATCTCGAAGTTGGGCGTCTACAAAGTCCTTCATTCTGTTTAACAATACCCTGTTGAAGACTTTGCCTGTTATTGAAAGAAGAGTGATGCCTCTGTAGTTCTCACACTTGCTCAGATCGCCTTTCTTTGGTATTTTGATCAGGTATCCTTCTTTCCAATCTGATGGTACTTGTTCCTCATCCCAAATCTTCTTGAAGAGGATGTGAAATATTTTCGCAGTTGCTTCCACATCTGCTTTCATTGCCTCTGCTGGAATGTTGTCTGGTCCTGCTGCTTTACCGCTCTTGAATAGTCTGACGGCCATACTGGTCTCCTCAATCGTAGGTGCGCCAATATTAATTAGGAGGTCGGTGGATGCTGCTTCGATGTTGGGTGTGTTCAGTGGAGCTGGTCAATTCAATAGTTCCTTAAAGTGCTCTACCCACCTATTTCGCTGTTCTTCAGTGTTGCTCACTACTTAGCCTTCCTTGCTTTTCACTGGCCGATAGTTCCCAGCGAGCTTCTTTGTAGTTTCGTACAATTGTTTCAAGTTTCCTTCTCTCGCATCCTTTTCCGCCGTCATTGTTAGATCTTCCACATATTTTCGTTTGTCAGCTCTGATGCTCTTCTTCCCATCTCTGTTTGCTTCTGTGTATGCAGCTTGTGCCTTATCTTTCTCTGCTCTTGTTCGGCTGATGCTGATTGCTGCCTTCTTGTTCCTCTTTTCTTCAATTTTTTCAATAGTACCAACAGAGATCCATTCCTTATGATGGTACTTCTTGTGACCCAGAACTTCGTGACATGTTGAAGTGATTGCCTCCTCGATCCCTTTCCAATTGTTCTCCAAAGTTTCTTCCTCTCCATTGAGTAGATCTTGAAGGGCCTGGAACCTATTGGTGAAGGCTATCTTGAATTCGTTGAGTTTTACGGTATCCCGAAGAAAGGCTGTATTAAACTACTGTGATGTTATCTGCCCCGTTATCCAGTGTTTCTTGAGTTTTATTTTTATTTTAGTGACCAGCAAGTGGTGATCTGAGGCTATATCAGCTCCTCTCTTGGTTCTCACATCCTCCATAGTCCTTCTGAACTTTTTGTTGATACAGATATGGTCAATTTGGTTTTTGAGTAGTGTGATCCGGTGAAATCCATGTGGCTTTGTGAATGCGTTTGTGCGGGAATATTGTGCCACCAATGACCAGTTTGTTGAAGGCACATATGTTTGCAAATCTCTCACCGCTTTCTTTCCTTTCTCTTATTCCATGTCATCACATGATGTCTTCACATCCAGTGTTGTCCATGTCAACCTTGGCATTTAGGTCTCCCATCAGAATGGTCAAATCATTTGGTGAGCATCTGTCGACGATTGACTGCAGCCTTTCGTAGAATCGATCTTTAACGTCGTTATGGTAGTCATTGGCAGGTGCATAACATTGGATGACGTTCATTGTAATGTCCTGTTTCTTTGTTTTGAAGGATGCTTTGATGATCCTGGGTCCATGAGATTCCCATCCTATTAGTGCCTTTTGTACATGTTTGGACAGCATCAGTGTAACTCCTTGTGTATGCGAAGCATTTTCCTCTTCATGACCAGAGTATAACAGCAGTTCCCCTGAAGCTAGTCTCAGTTGTCTTACCTGTGTCCAATGCGTTTTACTGATGCCGAGCGCCTCCAGGTTGTATCTTTCCGTTTCTGCCGCAACTTGAAATAGTCTTCCAGTCTCTCACAATGTAAGAACGTTCCATGTACCTAAAAGAATGGTTGCTCTGGTTGTCAGAAGAGGCATCGGCCCCGTGAGTTCCGAGGGAACTCGGCTTTCATCACGCGACGTCATAATTCTTCTTCCAACTGACAGGGCAGAGTTAAAATGGTTTGAATTATTTTTTCTGGTTAGCGTTTTTTTGGCAAGTTAGTTTTTGAAGGAATGGGGTCGCCAAACCCATGTCCAACCCTCCTCCTTTATCCGGGCTTGGGACCGGCAGTAGACCCGAATGGTCTACAGGTAGATTTGTGTGCTTGTGAACTTCATATTTTCTGGATGCTTGTAGAATGCACTTTCTACGCCTTATCAAGACTTTTGATATAGCTAGCAGGGCCGGGGACAATCGAATCAGAACAGCTTATCGTCTCACTGCATCATTTGTCTTTGCTCTCGTTCACAGAGTAAAGTGAACTCGTAATAGTTTTAAGCATATCAATATTCAAAATATGAAACAGTTTCTTTTCGACGACATTATTTTCTGAATCTTTACGGTAGTATTTATAGGTCATTAATAAATTAGGTAGTCTATAGTAAAATAGAAGAGTGTTATGAAATTATCAAAGATAGCCATACTAAATTCATGTCTAAAATCCCTATTGAAAATGATTTGGTGTTACTTAATTTAATGAAGTGATCAAGATGCCTTAACGTTTGAAAAGAGAAATTATTTGAAAACAGTAAGCTGAACTTATTCTAAGTCAATATAATTACATGCTTTCATGTTATTAACAGTGTCCATCAAATAGTCATTATCATACACTACTGAATATTAGAATTCTATGATCATATTGAATATGTATACTTACCTTCCCAAACAATCAGCTATAACACCACAACTAAAAGCTCCAACTGCACCGGCTAGTACAAAAGCTGTACTAACTTGAGCATACAAGAAACTTGGTGTCACAAGATTTGTTGTGTTTTCAGCTTCACTGACATTCTTTCCCAACATAGTTTGAGATAAAAACTCTTTGATATGCTATGATGTTTAAAGAATGTAAATTTAGAAATAAATTAAGGAAGTTTAGGAAGCTTCAGTGAAGAAATCAATATTGTGAGTGTTAGATAGTCAAGAAAAAATTACTGTGTATAATCATGCAAATGAAACCATTAAATATTTGTCTCAAACAAGATACTGTATTTTTCAATGCATAACAAATTGTAAGTAAAACTTAAATAATACCAGTAAATTTGTTGTAATACGAAGTTTATTTGTTCATCATCATAGTATTATAAGTATTTAAATTAACTTTGATAATTATTTGCAGAATCAAAATAATAGTCTAATGATGACTATCTAACTTAGTTGTCTCCATGTTTCTGATCAGAACTAAGTAAAATATACTGCTAATATTACTGTATAACAGGCCGATAGTTTGCACATTTAGACGAATATTTTCTCGTACGTTAGCATCTAACTGAACGTTTATCATTTCATCCATCACGTATTGGAGTATGCTTGGATGCAGCTGGACGATCTAGACTTCGTGGATGATCTGGCTCTTCTACCACACACGCAACAACGAATGCAAATGAAAGCCAGTGTAGCAACAACCCTTGCAGCAGTAGGTTTCAACCTACACAAGGAAAAAGCAAGATTCTCCGATACAATACAACATGCTTTAACCATATCACACTCGATGAAGAAGCTTTGGAAAATATAAAAAATTTTGACGTATCTGGTCAGTATCATTGATGAACGTGGTGGATCTGACGCTGATGTGAAGGCGCGGATCAGAGAAGCAAGAACAATATTTCTACAAATGAAGAGCATCTGGAACTCAAATCAATTATCAACCAACACCAAAGTCAGAATTTTCAATGCAAATGTTAGGACAGTTCTACTATGTGGAGCAGAAACTTGTAGAACCAAGAAAGCCATCATCCGGAAGATCTAGGAGTTTATTAACAGTTGTCTAAGCAAAATCCTTCAGACCCATTGGCCAGACAGCATCAGCAACAACCTATTATTGGAAAGAACAAACCAGATTCCAGCACAGCTGGAAGTGAATAGGACACATATTGAGAAAGGCACCAAACTGCGTCACAAGGCAAGCCTCATGGCTAAAGGGAAAGTGGAAGGCCAAGGAATACATGATGCCGAGAAACGGAGATAGACATGAGACGAATAAAAAGCAATATGATAGAACTAGAAAGGAAGGTCTGCGGCCCATGCTCCATTGGGGGTAACAGGCCTAAGTAAGTAATATTAGGGTATATATTTAAGTAATGATTTTGTTTCATATGTTTGGAGTTACCCAAAAAAATATGAGCTACGAATAAGTCAACGTAGTCCACCCAACGTCTGGGATAAAAAACACATTTATATTGAAAGTTTGAACTTGAAGTGAAGTTTTTAATGACATTCAAGGTCTAATATTCAATAATCACGCACATATTGAACAGAAAAAGGTTAGAACTGCAGTATATAATGTAGTTTCGTGAACAATGGAAACGTGATAGTTAACATTAACCTATATGACCAAATTTCCAATCAAATTATTATTCATTTCATTCTAACCCACTGGCATAAATACCGACTACCAGTATTGTAGATATGTTTGATTTACACTCCTATCTAAACTTATATTATGTACTAATAATTTCAATGCTAAAAGTGCTAACAAGTTCATCCCCCTTTACATTCCTAAATACTTATTCTATATTTCATATGATGCTTATATTCTTAACTTGACACTTCATTTTAGTTATTAATTAAAATTTGAAATTATAACTGCTAACGTGAGTTTATCAGTGACGATCTGTCAAAATGAATATCCGGTACAAGAAAATAAGCATTTACTGTTATGATGTGGCATCAGTCCAATTTCTAGTTGATTATTAATGAACTGATTTAATAATAAATGAAATTCACAATATACATGTTTCATACTTGATCGACAATTTTATCAAATACTTTGACACATTACAGGTCATTTTTCAGAGTTATTTAATAGTTATTAAGTATTACTTGTCAAATATACATTTGACTTACCTCTCCTGGTAAATTCAGTATTCCTAAATTGTAACCAATGGTAAATGACGATCCTAAACATGTTAGGAATACAGAAAGCGCTAACGACTTCGTGAAATTTTTATTTTTCTGAAGAGATAAATCAAAATAAACATATTGGTTTTTTAATATTTTTTTTTTGAAGAACAAGAATATAATGAAAGCAAACAAAGCCAGCAATACAACTTGAAAAAATAACTACAGCGTAGGCAATAGCATTTTTAAGAAGAATGAATAGGTTTTGAGAAATAGACTTTTCAGTTCATTGAAAATCTCTTTATATACCTTACTTGATAGTGTCTTTTTCAGCTAGCCTAAGGTTTCGGAACGTGTTTACGATAATCTGCCTACTTGATGCTGCAATAAGGCGTATGTATCTGATTACCTGCTCTCGTAGAGTAGGTTACAATAGCTGAATAAAATGAGATCTTAAAAAAAACGATTTTATGAGTATCACCCTATCTCGCTGTTAAACTGTTAAGTATATAAATCCATCAATAAATAAATCCTTCATATCATATTTCAAATTCAATGCTACAATAAGAACAGGTTGCTAATTTTTAGTCAGCAGCATTGTCGGTGATAATAAATCCAATTTTTCAATGTCATCAATAACATACTATGATTTCTAAGTTGGTAAATCATTACATTTAACACATGAAACTGGATGTATCGAAAAATAGATACACAATAATCACATCTTTGCTTTCAATAAGACCATCCTAAATATTTATACAATCAGGTTGCTTCAGAAACCAAATATACAGAAGCATAAATATATTTAGGAAAGTCAATTATGTAGCAAATTCCAAAATAATATTTAGTAGCCACTTTTTAGGGAAAATAACTCGTCGACTGATACCGTGAACATAATAACGACCAGCTTTATTGGGTTTATCTACATCAATATCATTAAGTTTTTGAAAATACTGAAATCTTGCGAATGATCAACATAAAAAGGCGTGAAAAAGTTTTTGGATACTTAGTGTTTAGTTCCTCCTTTATTTGGTAGATACATTGACACAAATCACTCCATCAAATGATGTAAAATGAACTAATGAACCACAAATTAATAGGATAACTTAAACGTGTATGTAAATAGTGAGATCAAACATGATATTGACGATCAATCACATTGAAAATACAGCCTGTTAACTTTTGCTGGAAATTTCAGTAATCCATTTATTTTTAAAGCTCAGCTTTCAATAGATAGGTGAAAGCATTATAAGCAAACAATTCAATTGAGAAAATGCAACCTCATAAAATGTCCCCTCAATGTGAAATGATTAGACATAACAAAATCTAAAACAAGCTTAAAATGATCCTTATCTGATTATCTAAATCTATATGCTTCGTAGTTGACTAGTTTTTGACTGTGGCTGTTATGTAATCCAAGTTTTGTTTTGTATCATAGTATTTTCTTTGAACATATACTCGCCTAAGTTAATCACAAATAACCCTGTTGAGGGAAACAAAATCTTCACTGATGAAAACATATCCTACTGAATGCTTACTGATTTCTTTTACAGTAGTGCATCAGTAGTTATCAGTGCATGATTATTATTTCGCTTAATTATATTTACAATAATCTACGGTATTAATCAGTATTGTGATATTTGATAAAAGATTTACTACGTCCCTGTCAGAGTTTTCATAATCATGAAACGAATATAACTAAATTCAATTACCTGCAATTACCTGCACCATTACCAAAAAACTAACATTTTTTCAAGTTTAATGATTCATTAAACCAATTACTTGATCAGTTATATATATATATATATATTGATTCAGTTAGTCAACATGATCAATAACCATATGTTACACATAAAAATCACATTCTAAATATCATTTCCTACTGTAAAAATAATGACTTCATAACGAAAAAAAAAAGATTAATAAATATTTACCATTAATTTTATATGCAATATCAACAATGATTCTTGCTTAGTTCAAATTGTCAACTGATTACAAAATTAAAAACTGTTTTTAATTCTGAATGAAATTCATCTATTATTCATGAAAGAAATCTGGTATTATTTGAATAAATTTCCATAATATTTCAAATTATTAATAGATGCTTAAAGCTTTATGTATGACATGTGAATTCTTTGATAGACTATAAAATTATTGACATTATAAGTGAATCATGATTACTATTAATTTGTGATATATATATATATATATATACTTGTAGCCTGTTTAATAAACCTCAGAATATGAATCGATTTATAAATCAATCGATTGAAAGTTGTTTTATTGACTCAAGTTAAAAATGAAAGCTTTAGTAAAAGCTTGAATTTCATATTTCCCAATTCAATATAATATACCTTTGGTATTTTATTGATTAATTTTTAAAAAATTATTGATCAACATAAGTTTTAATAAATTTAAAAACTTTTTAAAAGTGAACTGTTTTTCTTTATGATTTCTAATGAAGTCATTAAGAACATAAGTAGTTTATGATATAATATCATTTCATTGTGAGCACGAAAACATTTTATTAATTTGCTCAAAGAAATATCAGGCAGAATAAATTAAATTTTCCCAAAGAAAATATTTAAAAACTCACAGATCCCATTGTTTCAACGCTTACAAATGGTTGATTTTTAATGGTTTTATAGAAAGTAAAGCGAGAATCTCAAATTTATTGACAATTAGCCACACCTCCTAGTATCAATTATAAGTCATTTTCATTTGTGCTTAACTTATATATAGTCAGTCATGTATACACACATGTAGTTGATTTGCGAATGAATGAATGCATGAATGAATGAATATGTATGTTTATCTGTATGCTTAAGCATAAACATCATAGTGAAATTCTTAAGGCATATTTTTTTTTTGGTTTGTTAACTAGTAAAACATGCGACAAAACAAAGCACGTGGTTTTAATCAAAATTTTAAAAAAAACTGCCAAAAATCAAATGATCACAGTTTATAGCACTGTCAAGTAGTTAATGAGTTCTCAACTCATTAACACAGTAATTTATAAAGGGAAAAAAGATGGGAACATTCGTTGAAATGGGTTTCACTCTGGGTTACAACCATCAATTGTATTTTTCACTGATAAATTTGTATTCCATCGACATATTATCATGTCCTAAGAAAAACAGTGCGAAGTATATGTGTAAAATGAGTTTACCAAAAAAAAGGAGAATGGAATATGGCTAGCGTTACTGTCAAGCTTAGTGAGGTGAAATTTCACCGAAAATAAGTATCCGATGACCTTTCTAATCCCTTCTTTTAGAGGTAAAATTATGCATAAACAGGCTCAAATATTTGTTCACTGATTTGGATATGTCATGGAGTATTTTAGCTAACATTACGGAAATACAGTTGATTGATTTCTGAGCAGTGATCAAGGTCATGTTTGTATAGTCTATTAATGTTGACTGAGTGCTTTTTGAACGAACTGTATTGTGGTCGCTGGTCTTGTTGATCGGACATCGCTTTTACTGTATTGAGATTTTTTGGCTTTCGAAACCGATTAGCTGCAAACCCCGAGTCTAGGCTTTATTCTGGAACTTCCGTAGAGTTGACGCACCCTTAGTTCAGGGTTTCTCGTTGATGATATTCAATCATCTGGAATGATAATATTACTTGATAATCTATAATTTTATAGACAAAACCCATTATCAAACGCCGGCTTTTTGCGGTAAATATTAGATAATCTCCGAATTCGCAATATTTAGGAAATAGCCAGAGTAATATTATGGATCTTAAAAATTGATAAATAAGTCGATTTCATCATCTGAATCAACGATGGATAGGTACATAAAATTTTTTCAATGTATTAACTATTTATTCATAATTGAAATACGTTTCTCAATTAATAGGCAGATCTATTGTTACATTCATGAAAAGAACACATACTAGTGATCAGCAGTGAGGTTTAATTATCCTGTCAGTTTGATTTCTAATTTATCAAATAACGGTAATTTAATCTCATTCTGTTAGTACTTACATCGATACTAGCTCCTAGCATTCACCATTCCAGTAAAGATATAGTTAGTAACTTGAGTACATAAATGTAAGAGACATAAATTATTCGATCGATATTAGTTCGAATCTTGCTGATTCCTGAATTGTTAAGGAATTCCCGTTCATAGGCTGTCTGAGTGATTATTATACATGGAAACATCGTAAGTATTTTATGTAGAATATACTCTCTATCATAATGAAAATGTCTGATTTTGGGAACCCTGATAAAACCTCACCACAAATAATCTCATAATTTACTTCACTCTTGTTGCAAGCATTTCTCCTCGTGACTAATGAGCAGGCATTCTATGGTTTGTATGTTTAGCTTCTATCAATCAAAAGTACTGAGCAATAATCTATTAAGAATCCTTGACCAGTGGTTCTCATTTATGTCTAATGTCAGTCATTTACCTACCAATGACATTTTAAGATGGATGCGGAATATCTCGGATTAATAAGGACTGAAATGTAAACTAACAGACGTCGGCTTAGGAGTCTAATATTTGAAAGCTTGAAAAGAAACATCAAGGTCCTGTGTTAAATCCCTGATAAGATTGTGGATATGCAATACGGAGGAGTATCATACTAGGAAGAAAACAATGTCTGATGCTTCCATTATGATCGGACAACAATTCCAGTAGCCCTAGAGGGGCTACCGCCAGTGCCAAACCCGGATAAAGTGGGAGGATCGGGCATGTAGTTAGCGATCCCATCCCGTGGAAAACTAACCCGCTAAATAACGCTAACCAGAAAAAATTATCCGAACCCCTTCAACGCCATACTATGAGTTAGAGGATCCTCAATTAAAAAAGTTATGACGTCTCATGATGAAAGCCGAGTTCCTTCGGAAGACAACAGGACGATGTTCCTTGTGAAAATCAGAGAAACCCTTAGTCTGAGGTACGTAGAATGTTCGTACAATGCGAGAAACCAGAAGAGTCATCCAAGTTGCTTCAGAAATCAAAAGGTACAACACAGAGCTGCTTTGAATCAGTGAAACACATCGGACTCTAGTTTCAGGAGAGCTACTGTTATACTCCGACCATGAAGAAGAAAATGCCCTTCATACAAAAAAAATTCGCAATGATGCTATCCAAGAAAGCACAAAAAGCACTGATAGGATTGGAATCTCATTGAATAAGCCCTATCAAAGCATCCTTCTAAACAAAGAAGAAGGGGATTACAATGGTGTCATCCAGTGATATGAGCCTATCAACGATAACAATGAAGAAGGTAAAGAGCGATTCTATGAGAGGCTGTAGTCAATCATTGATAAATGCCCAATAAAGGACTTGACTATTCTGATGGGAGACACAAATGCTCCTTCATTAAAAATTTGCCTGTCACAATATGGTTCTTGAGAAGTTAAAGCTTTCTGTCACCCTTACAGTAGTGTAATACCCCCAGAAGGAGGTTATGTGAAATGATGTTCATTGTGTTATATATACAGCCTCTAACTTTATGTGTAGGCAAGAAAAGATATTGGTACCGTGACAATACGAAACTAACACTAGGCAACTACTCATTACTCTTTGATCTTCATTGGTTCTTTACATGAAGACTCTGTGAATAAATTTATCTTTCATTTTATAGCAGTTCCCTGAGTTGAATGGAGAAAATTCTAGAGAGTCTTTTGATATCATGTCAGTGTTATTGTATATTAACAGCATCAATGTCATTGTATTCAAGATTTTATCTCAATCAATCTCACAACCAGGCAACGTTAAAATTTGACTATTTTACCGATTGTAATTACCAATCAGTCTCTCGATTTACCTGTAGTGGTGTATTTTTGTAGAATGATGTTCTTTTTTCCCAGTGAACATACAACGATGAAACTAGGAAGTTTGACAAACAACACTAATTAAAATGACTTCAATACCGAAAATTAAACCCAGAACGATTAAAAAAATCAAAGATTATGACTTGACTGTCTATCTGTTGCAGTGTTAGGATTGTTAAGATGAGATCTTGCTGCTATTGTCTGAGAGTGCATCGTCCTAACGGAGACTAAGTGCTTATAATATCTGATATTAAGTGACATGTAAAAGGTTGATTACAAAACATTTGGTGATTATTGATTGACATGGTAAGCTCACTATATGTTTTACAAACTTTCGTGAGTGAGAAAATTTTCAATCAATATTTATTTGCTCAAAAAATCATAGTCTTCTTCGAAATCTATTTTTCCCACCTTGTATTCATATAAAGATATCCGCATTCATGTACTACTGTGACGTAATTAAGGGCTTATATGGTCAAGTGAAATTTGACTTCCTATAAGAAGTGATATTCATCTCTTCACAATTTAGATAACAACTCTAGTCATAGATTTTGATCATCAATTGAAAAAAAATAAACATGCAAACTATGCAGAAGTAGGTGGAAAACATTATTGACTATTTAATGAAATATTATTGAGAGTGAATTCCGCTTTCAAATGAATGACTGGATTAATTGGATCTCGTTAGTGAATTACAACCAAGAGTGTGGTGTGAGCTACTTATAAGTAGTATATGACGTGAGCGTCAACGTAATGTCTGGCAGCAGAAGATGGGGGAAGATCAAGAAAGGAAGAGTTAGAAAACAATGGAATTTGTATGAAACGCATGAATAGTGACAATGGATTGATGTTTTGCAACAGGAACAGTCCAGTTCGATATGATGAACTGATATTTTACAAATTAACGATTTACGATATGGTTTTCCAATTCTACTGAGTAACTCTGTAATTTTCGTTAAATACTATTCGGTTGCCCCACATGTGTTCTCGTTCACTACAAGAGTATTTAACATGTTGGTTTCTCGACAATAACAGTAGATTGATAGAAGAAACAATTACTAATTACCTCCACATATAACAATGTATCATCAAAGTACATAGTTAAATAACATTTCACAAACATCTTGAAAGACATCAGAAAACAATACAAGATGAAACAGTATTTTTCAAATAATTGGACAGAATAATAGTCTGAATATTTAAGATTCTAGGGCTTGATCATAATTTAGGAGACCTTGTGCACATTGTTTGGAAGTTCCATCACAAAACAAACTACTCGTCTTATTTTGTTTTAAATTTACTGTTCATATGAATTATACTACATTCTGGAAGCTTACGAAAATCTATGGTAAAAACATTAACGAAAATTTCGTTTTCATTGAGCTTATTCATCTGCTTTCGTCATAACTGTCATCTCTAATGATGCTGACAGTATGGGAATTTGTATTCCACATGCATACATTGATATTACTATTATTATCATTATTTTCATTTGTAAGTTTAAAAGCTTATTTCATGAAATAAACAACGTGAAACGTTTCCAATTTTCATCACTTTTATTCTATTCACGTCGATAAATGAGAATGATGTGAATGATATCGAAATTGATTTATGGAGGCTGATTGTATCATTTAAAACAGTTCCAATTTTTATTCACATCATTTTGAAGGGAAATCACTCAAACGAATAGAGTGAATAATTTGCTTCAATACATTTCATGCAAAACTGAAAAGACGTCACAATGGAATGTGAACATCATTGAAGAATGAAAATTTCTAATTTTGACAGGATAAATAATTACGAAACGTCAAAACTTTAATTCTCTATTCATTCAGATACTAAAAATTTAGTATTTGTACGATGTACAAAACTTATATCGACTTAACATCTCGTACAAACAATTCATTCTGTTTAATTTCCTTCTAATTCTATCAGAGATATTTTCCGACTGCAAACGTGTTTCTAAAAAAAATACCTGCC